ATTTAAAAGAGAAATGTACACAAGAGATGTACACTTTCTTAAAATTAGGTTTATATGCATGTATCTACTTGTGATCATAACATATCATGAAACCATGTAATATAAACCCTTACGCAATATTTACTGTATTTTCAGTACATAATACTGAACTTTTCCAGGTCAAATACAGAAAATAAAACAAAGTCTGCAAACTAGTTCACACACACCACTGAACAACTCAACGCTGTGCTCTGGATCAGCTGATGCACCAAGCGAGCTTGCCTACTACCATTACCAACTGGCCGATCGATTTCAGCTGTCAACTCACTGCACATTCTCTGCTGCTGCAGCTACTACTCATGCATGTCACGCCTTACCTGTTATCATCGAGTCCCTCGACGTTTGAAATCGAAGGACAGTGTTGGGAAATTGTAGAACGGATGCTGCTCCCAATAGTTTAATTCAAGCCACCAGCATTCAATGCAATAAAAACAGAAAGGAGAGCGCAAACTTGTTGGATATAAACTGCAAGTGACAGTGATAGGTGATTTTGGAGCTCTGTGTGATCACAACACTACGGATTAAATACAGTTAACAGTTTAGTTTCCACTTTATAAGAGATTTCGTTGCATGTAAATGATGGAAAGAATGTTCGCTTCATTTTATAAGCTTTTTATTTACAGCATTTGTTCTAAATCAGTATGTTTTGGGATCCACTATGAATGACATGTATTTTGAAATATGCATGAGGTAGTGTGCACTGTGCTGTGTTGTCACCTATATGAAAAGCACAAGCTTAGTTTTAACATATTGTTACTACAGCGCCTGGGTTCAATTAAGTCTTAGAGAAAACACTGTTTCTGAAGGTTTTGAGGGTCATGTAATAGTTCAATCGTGGCTGAAATGAGCTACAATTTATTTTCCCTGTAGTGGCTCCTCTACCACTTACATACGGTAGTATACTACCTACATAGGTCACTTGTCTTCCACATCCATTGGAGATAATTTGTTTCAATCTTAAGCGTTGAGTGCTCACGGACAATGGGCTCCTCTGCTGTGTGTGCTTAACTAAATGTGCTGAATATCAAGTTCTGTATTTGCTGCTTACTGCTGCATATCAGGCTGCTGGCACTTACATTAAGGATAAAAGCAGAGTAGACAAGAAGAAATTCACACTAACAAAAGGCTGAAATGACCAAGTCAGATCTCGAGGAGAAAATAGTTGCATTTCCTCATGTGTCACTGAAACTTTTAAATGTGGGATTTTGGTGTGAGCTTCAGTGGTTTATGGCATCTGTTGTAGATGCAGTTTTTGAATAATTTATTTCTTCCTGTTATTGCATTTTGGTGGCTTTAAATTAAGCTTTGCCAGGAGCCAAAATAATCTGTTTACATTCATACTTAATTACTAAATTCTTATGCAATATGAGAGTTGACTGGCTGAGCTCAAAATGGTTGAAAATAAATGGATAATAGAATACATTTTTGAGAAATATTGAAAGATTGCTCTGCCAGTGGCTACATCAATACCTCAGCTGCCAGCCCTGTCTCCTAGACATTACGTCTATATACAACTAATTTACAACATCAAATACGGTTAGAAGGAAACGTAATGCAGACCAAATTACATTATCTATCTAAGATTAAAGGGAATTGTTGTCAATTGACGTACCTGGCAAGTCACAAAAATGTTGATACTGAATGTATCAGTAAAATGTTATGTGACAATGTCTTTCATTTGTTTTCCACCAATATAGGCAGAAATCACAATTGATCCCTAACATTAACCAAAGTGCTTTTGTTGCAGGAGTCTGGATGCAAACCCAGGACTGTGGTGTGACAGTCCTGCACTTAGTACGCCCATTACCCACCCCAACCATTTACTTCTAACTCCGTCTTACATAAATATAGTATTTCAAAAAACGCTGTCTGTGAACATATTCCTTGTAGGTATTACGTTGTCACAACAATGTAATTCTGAATACAATAAAGTAAAATACAAACATCATTTCTAGGAGAATAGGTTGCAGCTGCACGTCTTGTTGTTTTGCCCTTAAGCAAGACTGTGAGCACCTACCTGCTCACATACTCTATATCAAACTACATAAAAGAAGCTCTGTATTTGCTGAAAACATGCATTGTTTGTATACACTCTGAAGAAAAAAAGGTAGAGAAATAATGTGAGAGCTAAAAAATAAAATCAAGTGTATGTAGACCAACAAGTGAAACGGTGATCTTGCATCATAATATCAAATCTTTGTGGTCAGAACAGAATAACAGTTAAATCAGAAGGACATGCACACGAAGGCCAGCAGACACACGCAAAGTACAACTACAATAGTAGTTCAGATCAAAATGTACCACTAGTTTTTCATTCCTGTAAGAAAATTCTCTTTTCATTTTCCTCCAGCAGTGAGGTCAGAGCACACAGTCCCTCTTCTGTCCCAAAACTGAAAATTATAACCCTATAGAGTGAAAACTTTAGTAGGCTAACCCTACTCGATCCAGCAGAAACAATTTCATGTCATTAGGGTCAATCTATCTGGGCCGCTACTGTATGTAGTTCCTGGACACACTCACTTACACCCACACACATACACACAGACAAACGTGCCGTGCAATTGTGTTTGTTACGTTCAAATGGCCTTTTTCAGTGTCAGTTTTTTCCGTTGCTTTTAGCACACTATCTTTGCTAAAACAGAAGAAAATATGAAGACATCTGTGCAGCCAAATGATGGAGATGTGGATGAGCGATGCAGATAATTGTGAAGAACTTGAAGGGAATGGGGGGGCAGGACAGGTGAATAAACACACACCTGTCCCACATGTTGCATCTGATTTGTTTTTTTAAAAGGTGTGCACACTTGTTGAGCCACACACAAACTGCACAAACAGTAAGGAGCACAGACTGAAGCACAGTATGTGTGAATATTTACAGTTATGAAACCGAAAATGCATTTGCATAGACCCACAAACACCCGGAACACCAGAGCTTATAATATATATACATATATAAGATCCAGACAAACACTCATTTTGTTGACTTTTAGTGGAGCCAAGGCAGTCTCTCCCTCACAGACACACAAGCACGTAAGCACCACCCCCGATTCCCTGACGAATTAATCCTCACATCTGTTCTGCTGGAGACCGAGAAGAGATTAACCTGCTGCTTTTACTGCCTCATTGGCTCACACGCACGGAAAATGAACACACACACACACACGCAAGCATACATACAGCACTTGCACAGATTCACAACAGAACGAGTACAGCATTGTGGACTTAAATTCATCTTTGTCATAATTCGTCAAATCAGAGGATAAGACATCATCATGACATCACCAAAACCTTTTTGTGGACCTCGAGAGACAAAACTGTACAACCTGACCTGATCAAGAAAATTGTGCTCACCAGCAGCCAAATTAATCAGACAGAATTACAGTACTGGTGACGCTTCAGCAATGAGCCGTCAGCAAGAATACATTGAGAAACACAGAAAGGCTGTACAACAGGAATGCAGTTGGGCAAGACTTTCAGCATCGCAAACCTGACTGCGGAAATGCGTATGTGGAGGGCTGACTCAGAAGTGCATAAGCACTATAACAACAGATACAAAAACATGTAGACACACACACAGACACTCTAACCTGTATAAATACAGGTTTAATAAATAAAATAAATGCGCCGTCGCAATTAAACACACAAAAGGCTGTAATTATGGAAGAGCCCGTTTGAAATTTCAAGTGATGGAGTTATGTTGATAAACTTGTTGAGGTGCACACAAATAAAAAAATCACAAGCACACACATGCACACACTGTACCATAAAGAGTATATACTGTAATATATATATGTATGTGTATATAGCTGATCTTTGCCATGCAACACGCCATAAATAATTAGCATTTCTTCACAGAGAATATTGTTTATGTGATTGTTTATGTGGTTGTTTATCTCTTTCATGTATGAAAGACAAAATGTGTGCATGTGAGGTTGTGTGTCATCACGTGCCTGCATCACTGTGAGTGTGTATCTGTCTAGGTAATTGGATCTGAGCAGAACATGTCGACACTGGCAGCCAATCAAACATTTTTTCTATGTTGCTGCCAACAACATTAAATCCCTCTGCAATATAAAACACAAATGCAGACAGATGCACAAACACACTCTCGAACTAAAGCTGTTTTATGGCACGTGTGAGGATACAAAAAAGTAGCAATTTTAAGTTTTATGTATCAGCTTGTATGTCCCAAATCATACAAACACAAGAGAAAGAGCCAGACAGACCATGTTGGATGGATGTTGGAACAAAATGAGGCTTACTGCTTTGGGGATTGCAAGATCGAATTGCATCAACTCAACTGAAAAACGTAGTAGTCTAAAACACACGCACACACACACACACACACATGCATGTAACACACGCAAATAGAGACGGTTTTGCAGAAGCACTCATCTGCCATTCAAACAAAAATCATCTGCCTTTAATTTCCTACCTTTCATGTTTATTGCTGTTTTATGTTTTATTTTCCCATCTTTTATCTGAACCCTCACACACACGCACGCACACACACACTGAAGCCCCAGGCTACTGTGTAAGTAATAAATATCTCACTGACTCAATCAACAGAGAAAGACAGAAAGCTGCAGCAACAGGAGCTGAAACTTACCTCCTCCAGACAAAAGTTCATCATTCCCAAAAACATGAACGGTGAGAGAATAACAAGAGGCAAGTGTGTGTGAGAGAAAAAGAAAGAAGGAGATCAAGGGACTAACAGAACAAGACAGGAAGCTCGCAGAAGGGATTTTGAGACTGATTTCATGAAGGGAAACCTGGGAGAGTTGAGTATACTGAGGTGAATGCATCACAGTCTAGCTGTAGTTACAGGTCAGGGAAAAAAAATAAAAGGAAGAAGGAAGAGTGAAGAGGGCAGAGGGCGTGAATTATATAGCATCCTGTTTTTCAGACAACGTTGGAAAAGAGAAGAGAAGAGAAGAGAAGAGAAGAGAAGTAAATCCTACCTGGAGTTGTTCGGACAACGTGGTGGACTGTCTGGTAGTCAGGGCTGGAGCTGAACTCTCCTCAGGACGCAGAAACACTTGCTGACCGCGTCTGCAGGCATCAAAAACAACAGTCAGGACCCGTGTGTGTGCGTGTGCGTTTGAGTTGTCCGCTGTGCACACATGGAGTCAGCTGTTACAGAGTGATAAGCTGCAGCAAAAAGAGCATTTTCACACACACACACACACACACACACTCAGGAACTTATCTTTACCCTGAACTGAGGAGTGTAGGAATTTATAGGCGTGTGTGTGTGTGTGTGTGTGTGAGGGAATGTAGGAGAAAAGGTGAGTGTGTTTTCGTGTGTGTGTTGGTTGTGTGATTGTGTGGTGCTTGTGGGTGTGTGTGATATTTTGTTGGAAGCTTACAGTCCTTCCTAGTTCTGACTCTCGGAGCGCTGTGTCCATGTTTTTCATACTCCTACCTGTCGTAACGCAGCAGCAGAGCTGCCTGGAAGTCACCACACACATTCACACACACAGCGACGCACCAATGCACACACTTGCGCCGGCAGGCTGAGACCCACACTGGCGCGCTAACACCACAAGCCGCAACGCATAGAGCTGAGAGTGAACACGGTCCCTCCTCCTCTCTCCTCCCACCTCTCCCTCTCTCTCTCTCTCTGCTCCTCCTCTGGGTCTTACTGCCTCTCTCAACCCTCCCCATGTTTCAGTTTCCTACTGTCAGTATGTACGCCTGCAGGATACTCACAATCAAAGACACTATTCTTGCTATTCTAGCATGTCAGTCATGGGAAGCAGCGGAATTATGACACCAAGCTCAAATCTGATCATATTTACAATAATATTTAGAACAAAGGTCATTGCTTTTGGACTGTACTGATTATATTATTTATAGACCTTTTTGAATGCTGTTTAAAGTTATTTTCACCCAGATTTTGGACGCCTTTCTCACCAAGCACTAGACACCACTGGCCGTTTGTTCAAACCTTTAAAAATGAGCCAGGTTTACATTTTCAAGCAACCTCTTGTGGACATGTGAATTGTTATTGTTTCTCTGTGAGATGCAAAGGTGGAAAATTGTCGTAAACGTCATTGTCATTGTCATTTGGTAACAACAAGTGACATATTTGTTGTTGAATGTCACCCCAAGGTCAATTTTTTTTTTCTTTTCTGGAGCTTTCGGTCATATTACATGATCTTCACCAGAAGATGGATTTTACCTAATTGTCGAGGATTTACAGATGCTCAAATTTTCATTTTTCTCCTGAGCGCTATGAGGCCTTCTCTTTCATATCAGCTCAAAACATTTAAGCTGTACATGATATAATATGATCAAGAGCTCCAAAACGGCTAATAAAGAGATTTAGCTGAGAGAAAATACTGAAATGAAAAAAGGAGAGAAAAATTCCATCATGCCCCGATGCTCTTCAAACTAATATAAAGTATGCCAAAAAAAAGAGATTAAACTGCAGTGTTTGATCTACAGATGCAATCTGATTTTCACCAAGACTTAATTTAAAATAAAACACAATCCTGGAAAATGAATAAACCCTAATTTAGCTCTACAACCTGCCAGACAGCAACGCGATCACACGCATATTTATAATGCATCAAAGATTGAAAAGATTCATCTCCTTCACCACTCCTCTTATACATTTAATCAGCCGACAGATTCATCATATCAGCCCCAATCTGCTGCAGGGAGCGTCCCGGGAGATGCTGACAGCTGACTCGTCGAGGTGACATTGGTGGTGATGGGACATTTAGCATGAAGCTGTACAACAGGTTGCATAGGACTGTGTAATGTAGTCCATCAATCTGACAACAAACCTCAAAGTCATTTACTGAAAACAAGCTTGCCAGCGGCTGCACACGCTCCCACAGTGTCCTATCTCCTGGAAAATGTATTCCTTAAGCAACTGTCAACACTGTGCTGGTGATTCTTATGATCTCAGGTTTTTGTTATTAATTTCTAGGGTTATTTAAATTCATTGTGTATACTGTTGTTTGTGATGTTTTTCAAAATGAGGTTGTTAAAAGACCTTTTTCTGAATGTAGATTACTTAAAAGGAGATTGACAGAATACATGTGAAGCTATCACAAGCAAACAGTCACAGTGTTGGATTACAACTGGCTGAGAAAAAGCAGCTCCTCTAATTCAAATGAAGTAAGCCGCTTCGGTTCAAATGCTGAAAATTGGCCTGACGGGAAAAAGATACTGTTAATTGTTTGGAAAAACAATCAAAACGAAGTGCTGTTGTGACATGTTCAGTGGAGGTTGAAATTGCCTGAAATAAACTATGGATCTTTGAAACTTTAACCACTCAAACTAAAGCACATTTGATCAGTGTAAAGTATATTTGAACCTGTTTAAACATACTTTTCCTCCAGTGTACTACAATGTCACATTTATAAATTCTGTGCGTGTGTTGCACATTCCTCTACACAAATATCCTGTGACACAAATTAGATCAATGCTTGAAGAGGCAGAGGTGATGTATAGAGTTTAACGGCGAGTCAGAGGTTGATCCGTGGTTCATGAAGCCATTTTTAGGTGAGCACGCTCTGCTATATAATGTTGTAATATACCAGAAAACCCTGAGGCTGTCTGTTTTGTAAACACGGTGAAAGGTTATTCCAGCACAGCAGAACCTCAGACTGTATTGACCAGCGTTGGCTAATAGCAGCAAGATACACAGAGAGATAACCAGCCCCGTGCACTGTGCATATTATCAATTCTGCCACTGTGTCTACTATATTCACATGAACACACACTCAGGTAGGAGAGCAGGCCCTTACATGTGCTCGGGAAAAAACACACAGGCAACCAGGAAAGTACAAACACACACCTGAAAATAGGTTAGTTCAAAGCTTATTCTCCTCAAAGACTGTCTCTCCTCATCTGCTCTGGACTCTGTGATCTAGATTACCTTTTGTACACACACAAATACACACTCACACACACACACACACACAAACACACACACGCTAGTTCAGCTGAATACAGTATTGATCCCAAGTTTGTGATTAAAACAGGGGCTGTTGCTGCTGCTCAAATGCAATCAACACAAAAACCCACCATGTGATCACTTACTCACTCAGTTGCTCTTTCACCCACACGCACACACGCGTGCACACACACAAACACACACACACACACAAAGTGCAGCGGCATGAATAACTAAAGCGCAGAACATAATTAGCAAGCCACGGACCTGGAATCTGATGAGGATACAACCAGTAACCTTGATCTGCTGTGTGTTACTGCGTGTGTGTGTGAGCAAAGTGTAAGTCAACATGCATGTGTTGTTGGTTGTGTGTGTATATCATGTCCATAAAAAATAGTAATTGAAAGTGCATATCATGTAAGTGTGTGTGCGTGTGTTGTGTGTGTGTGTGTGTGTGTGTGTGTGCGAGTGTTGTGTGTGTGTGTGTGTGTGTGTGTGTCTGCTCCCATAAAGCAGTGGAGTGATTGAAAGCTCTAAATGGTGAAGCTGCACTCAGGGGAATAGGGCTAATATACATAATGGTGGAGCTATATTAACAGCATCCTGATGCACCCGACCCATCCCCCTGCCACCCCACTGCCACCCCACACACACATACGTAGGTGACAATTGAACGTGAGCCTCTCTCTCTCATCCCCCCACACAACCAGTTTCTCTCCTGCAGATCTGACTGAACCGGTGAAAAAGGACAGAGGTAATGAAATCATCCGAGTTAAAACGTTAAAAACGTTAAAAAAAGGAAATAAATAATTAGTATGTTTATTTGTATTAAACAAGCTTCTCATTTAACTGTTAATTGCAGGTACACATTTGTTCATTGTACACACTGATCACTGTATTAATGACTGATTATTATAGGACAACATTTCTGGTAACAGATTAATGCCACTCCACAGATACATTAACATTTCATATCTATTTTTCTCTGCTAAAATCAAGAGCAAAAGCAGCATTGTCTAAACACCTCCACGAATTTTGAATTATTTGAATTATTAAATAAGAAAAAAGGTTAAAATTCACTTGTTCCAGCTTTTTTAATGTGAGTATTTGTGAGGATTTCTGGTTTCTTCCATTTTCCACATTAAAAGGGCTTTTAATCGAATCTAAGGTCTAAGGACAGAGGGTGTTGAATGTTGTTGTTGCCGCAGACTGTAAAGCCCCCTTAAGGCAAACTGTGACTTGTGATTTTGAGCTATATAAATAAAATCTGACTTGACTTGAATGAAGTCATGGGGCAGCTGCGGCTCAGGGAGCAGAGCGGGATGTCTACTGATTGGTGTTGTAGTTGGTGGTTCAAACCCCACCTCTTCCTGTCCACATGTGTCCTTGGGCGAGACAGTGAACCCAGCCAATGCACAAGCCAGTGCATTCCTAATTCCTATTCCTAAGGGTTTCCGGAGTGAAATAGCTATGCCAAATCAAATATGCGAATTCTCTATGCTCGACTGGGCGGGGCCAGGTTTGGTAGATGGTCTGCTGTGGTGACACCTAAACAAATGGGAAGCGGCTGAGAGAAAATATCTAGGACTGCATGGGAGATTTTAATCATTATTTTAATCAGTCTGTGTGCATGTACTGTGAGTCTATAGGTATGTGTGGAGCTGAGAAAAACCAAGCTTAGTGGTGTGAGTCGTGCCCGGCTGTCAGTTCTGGAAATCTATGCACTCTCAGAATTGTAAAGTACCTTGGAGAAAAGTGTGTGTGTGAATATTGCTTAATTGTTGCCCATAACGAATTTCCTTAAACAACACGAGCAGTAAAACAACAGCAGGAAAGCGACAATGGCACACCCTACTTTGGAAAGTCACGCAGTCATACGCAATCACACACACACTTAACAGCACTGTTTGTATTGATAACTTGTTTCAACAGCGCAATGCATTTGTTAACTCTACTCTGTAAGGCACAGCCCTTTGAAACAATGTGTCTGAATGAAACAAGCATCAACAATGATGCAGAAAAAACAGCCAGTGCTCTGAACCAGGCAAGATAAAAGGCCATTTTACCCCTTTAAAACCCCACGTTGTATTAACAGCATGTACTGACAGCTTCATATGTTAAATAAGGAAGATATGTTGTT